GCCCAGGAGTTTGAGGTTGCTGTGAGCTAGGCTGATGCCACGACACTCTAGCCTGGGCAACAGAGTGAGACTCTGTCTCAAAAAAGAAAAAACAAACAAACAAACAAAAAAATACCAAAACCACATAGTCCTCTTTTAATATTGTAATGGTTGGATATATCATACTTCTTATTCATCTAGTGCCTAGAGTTATTGAAAGATGCAAGGATTGACATGTAAGTTTATGCCTTTTTAAAATATTTATATAAGTGTGTTTTTAAGGAGAAATTTTATGTTCTAGAGATGCTTTCTAAAGCATGTCTCTTGCCTTTCTTCGATCAGGTAACCTTTCTGGGCATTAAAAATTTAATCTAAAGGCAAAGATAATATGGTTGCACAACTTTTCAATTGTATATTTAAGAAATTCTGTAAAGCAGGATCCATGGCTTATGTTCAGAGGTCAGTTCTATATAACATGTGTTCCAGTGCCTGATATAGTGCCTGGCACCTAGTAGGTACTCAATATATTATTTGATAAATGAATGGGTATGTGGTAATATATAAGCTATGTATGTGTATACATATATTCTCCTTTTTATTAGGCTACAGGAGATCCTTACTACCTTGAAGTAGGGAAAACACTTATTGAAAATTTAAATAAATATGCTAGAGTGCCTTGCGGATTTGCTGCCATGAAGGATGTTCGTACTGGAAGTCATGAGGACAGGTAAAACAATTACTAACCTCCCCTTTCCTTGGGGTAACTCTGAAACAACACAAAATACAACTACTAGTTAGAATTCAGATAAGTTTAATTCTGTTGCAAAGGGTATTTCAGGACACAAACCTTAGTTCATTGTTTTTATTTTTTAAAACTCTCTTGAATAACACATTTTAAAATTGTTTGAAAAGTTTGTATTTTTATCTTAGTGCCTGGTGTATTGTAGGTGTTCAAATGATTTTTAAATAGATGAATGAATGAATGATTGTTAAATATCAGAACCTTGTTATTAGGAGTATTTGGAATGTTTTTCCCCCTTTGTTAATTTTTT